CATTTATAAAAATAAACCATAAAGTGAAAGCGCATTGTTGAGATTAAATATGATTTCTTGTAGTAATGAGCGCTTTTATACTTTTCACTAAAGGTTGACGTTTTACAAATGATTCACTTTCCTGTTTTTAGTAAGTGAATTACGTATCAACTGCACAATACTCATAGAATAATACAAGTATGTATGTGCTGTAGATTATAAATCAATACGATTCAATGCTACAGACTGTTGATATGGTCGAGAATATAGAGAAGATATAGATAAAAGTTTTCAAAGCACAAAGTAAGATTCTAGTTAAAAGTGTTCTTGTTTCAAATCAACCAAGGGTAGATATGATCTGGAAAAATTGAAGTGGCTTGTTAAACAATCATAAAAGATGGATTTGTATAGTTATATGTTAAATTTTGAAATACGTTAAACTATTGAATTGTAAATATATTTTGTGTAGAACTAAATAATATATATTTAACGTTAATTTTTGACAAATTATATATATTTAAATGATCAAATAAAATTGGTAAAATATGCTAAAAATGATTTTCTAAGTATTGCTTTATTTTATTGGTAATTTTTATTCTTGTGTTCTATTTTAACACGTGCAGAGAAATGACCTATCACGTGGTCATCACGTGTTTACTCACTTCCGATTGTAATTTACTAATAAAAATCTCTAGCGGAATGATACCGACAAACTGTTGGTTTATAACAGGTTCCAAGTTAGAGTATAGACGATGGATGCAATGGTTTGAATCCACTGAATATGACACCACCAAAGTGTAAATTCCGAACTGTTTGGTTGAAATAAAAGGACAAGGCAGATTGTACAATAAGATTATGGGCAACTGTACAGTACATTCAGACACGTATTTTGCAAAGTATGTAATTGCATAATACAAGTGAAAAAAGATTTCCAAACACTTTTAGATCATGGAGGTATGCCAAGCACAGACAAAAACTTATCTGTGCTTATGGTCCAAGACAGTTACGCCTGACATTGGTTGGACCAGGCGATAGTTTCCCAGGCCCATCAAAAATTGATGAAATTCCAAGTAATACTGACAATGTGACTGGAGAAGGATTAGCAGCTGTGAGTTTATATAATTCGAGAGATGCTGCATACCATGCAGAACGAGAACGTGTATGGCCCATGAAAACAATATGTAGTAATTTCTCATTCTGCAGATACCTAAATTCATGGTTTCTTGGGTAGCAGATGCAGAAACATTGCATACACACATCAAAGCTATCGATATTGCTAACCTGTCACTGCACAAACTTTTGATAATAGGATCAGATGGTCCTAATAGTAACCAAAAAGTGTTACGACTTTTTAAGGAAGATGTACTGGAAATTCGCAAGAAAAGCCTTGTTGACATTGGAACATGTACGATTCATATTATTCATAACACATATCTGAAAGCATTAAGTGAACTGGGTGAAGATGCATTTGAATTATTGTGGCAGTTTACAGATTTTTTGATGGATGGCCTGGGAAAGTTATGAAGCTGTGCAAGAAAAGCTCAAGTTGCCTAAGCATAATTTATAAAACAACAACACGTTGGCTGACATTCCATGATGCAGCATCAAGGTTAATTGAGCAGTGGGAGGGTATAACGTACTACTACTTAAAGTATATTCCTTCAAGTAAACAAAGCATAATGTCAAGTCTTTGTACAGAATTATATCTTGTTTGTTGAAGATTCCTTCCATGAAAGCAGAAGTACTTCAAGGCATTTCAAGTGTTGAAATTTTCACAAAATATACATCATTTTTTAAAGAGAAGAACCTCTAATACATCTCCTGTACAGCAAACTATGGGACTTGCTTCTAAACCTAGTTATTAAAATTTTGAAAGTAGATATTTTGAAGCTTTTGTATTAAATCTAAAGAAATTGTATTAAATCTAAAGAATTTGTATTAAATCTAAAGAAATTGTTTGACAAAACAAATATTTTGCTATTAGAGGAAATTATTTGCAATGCTGAGTGAGGTTGCCAATGAGTTGAGTAAATTATCTCAAAAAGATCAATTGCATTTTCGCAGTTGCTTACAAAAACACTATGTTGTGGCTTCCATATATAAGGTAGAAAAAGCTCCAATTCAATGCAAACTGTTGAAATCATTGACATGTCTTCGGCAAAGTAATATTAGTGAAAAAAACACTTATAAAGAATTGTAAGTATTGCAAGAGCTCTTCCATGTGAATTGCTGAGAATACTTTGCAGAACAAGTGGCGGCTACTTCAATTTGAGCGAGAGTGATTTGACAGACTTAACAGATAAGAAAATTGATTATTATTGGAGTAAGTATTTTAAATTGGTTGACTCCCTTGGGAACACAAACTATCCCAGTTAATGAAATTGGTGAAATCAGTATTGACCCTCTCTCGTGGCAATGCTGATGTGGAACGGGGATTTTCAATTTCATGCCGGCCACTTCCTCCTGATAGAGCAGCAATGTCAGAAAGGATGCTCAATTCACTTTTGATTGTTAAGGAGGGACTAAACATGTATGACCAAAGCTCACATCTTGTACCTATTACGAAGGATCTATTGAAATTAGCTGCTTCAGCACATTGAAATTATCGAGAACAATTGGAAAATGAAAAGAAGTTAAAAGAAGAGAAACAGAAAAAAAGAGCAGAAGAGGAAGCACAGAAACATTTTGAAGAACATCAAAAGAAAGCTGTTTGTGACAAGGAAAAGATAATGGCACTGCAGCAGAGTTTAAAACAGAAAAAACCAGAAGAAAATGAAATACACGAGACAGGCCAAGTTTTGTTAGAAGCAGCAAACAAAAAAACTGGAGAAGGCCATTAACTGGAGAAGAACATGAATGAAATACGGGCAGCACATGTCATGCTTGTTAGTGTTAAAGTGTTCAAAATCAAGAGGAAGCAAAAAAGAAGGAAGCTGAAAACATCCAGAAAAATCTTAATAAAAGAACATCATCTTTCATGACTGATTATTTACAGAAGAAGCCAAAGACTTATCAAGTATTCATGGTTTATTGGAAACATTACAGTATATGCAGAAAGTTTTAAAATGTATTTAACCATAACAGTAAAAATAAAACAACTTTTACTGCTATTTCGCTTAGTTTTCCGTCCGTGTTTTCGCTTTGTTTTGTCACTATTGCACTCACTTTTTGCTCACTTTTTCTGTATTTCAACTCACTTTTTCAGAGGGAAAATGGCACTATGAGGCCTGTATCGAGTGTTTCTTTTCGGATTTCAGTACTCCAATTCCTTATCAAGTATGCATCAATGCTAAAAAAAAAGTATAAATTGTAGTTTTTAAGCTAATTCAAATTGTTTTCTATTGTATTATTTGTCTAATCAACGTTTGATCAATAATGTGTGATATATATTTTACATTTAACATCATTAATATATTATTTTTTGTTACTTTTGAAACCGTGCTTGTAGTTATTAGTAGTAATTCAAACACAAATAATTATCGTATTTATTTTCAGGCACTTGGCAATTCTTATCATCAAGTTCTTAGTAATTCAAATTCAATTCTTATCATCAAGTTCTTAGTAATTCAAGTTTAGTAATTCAATAGTAATTCAAACACAAATAACTATCGTATTTATTTTCAGGCACTTGGCAATTCTTATCATCAACTGAATAAAAACTTGATGATAAGAATTGCCAAGTGCCTGAAAATAAATACGATAATTATTTGTGTTTGAATTACTACTAGTAAAATATAAATACGGTTGACCTCCTATAACACTGTTGATAATTTACTGTAATGCTGCTTAGCTCTTTAAAACAGTTGACCCCCTATAATACTGTTGATAATTCCATTTTATATGAATTCCATGTTGTACGAGTCACTTAGATTTNTGACTGATTATTTACAGAAGAAGCCAAAGACTTATCAAGTATTCATGGTTTATTGGAAATATTACAGTATATGCAGAAAGTTTTAAAATGTATTTAACCATAACAGTAAAAATAAAACAACTTTTACTGCTATTTCGCTTAGTTTTCCGTCCGTGTTTTCACTTTGTTTTGTCACTATTGCACTCACTTTTTGCTCACTTTTTCTGTATTTCAACTCACTTTTCTCACTTTTTCAGAGGGAAAATGGCACTATGATGCCTGTATCGAGTGTTTCATTCTTTTCGGATTTCAGTACTCCAATTCCTTATCAAGTATGCATCAATGCTAAAAAAAAAAAAAAATATAAATTGTAGTTTTTAAGCCAATTCAAATTGTTTTCTATTGTATTATTTGTCTAATCAACGTTTGATCAATAATGTGTGATATATATTTTACATTTAACATCATTAATCTATTATTTTTTAATGTTTGCAATAAGCCATTTTTATATTTATATTCAATTATTTCCATGTAATTTTGCCTATGCAACTAGGCATATAGCTAACAGCTATTCGTCAGTTTTTAAGGTCTATTGCAATGTGTTCTACTTCATTCCAGTCAATAAAAGTTTAACGTCTATTAAAACTGTTTCGCACAGTGTCATTTGATCTTTCTTTTCTTTAAGCCATCAATGATCGAGTAAATACACTGGTGATAGTTGGTCGAGGGATCGTGCCTCGCTAATATGCTGACTACATAGTTTTCCAGGGAGATACCACCATTGGCAGATGGCCCCATGTATTGCGTAGCCGTATCCTACCAAACCAACCTTTTCTTTATTACTCGATTAGTATGTTGAAATAAAAAATTTAATAATATAGAAGTTAGTTACGTTTGTAGATTAGATATACAGTCGACCTCCCTGTAACACTGTTGATAATTCCGTTTTATATGAATTCCATGTGGTACGAATCACTTAGATTTTACAAATACGTGAGCCGTTCACAGCCCAGCACACGTATTTGTAAAATCTAAGTGACTCGTACAACATGGAATTCATATAAAACGGAATTATCAACAGTGTTATAGGGGGGTCAACTGTATTATTTATTTAACTGATTTGATAGATAAAAACAAATACGAAAAATCATAAATTGTTATATCGTATTTTAATCGTTTATTTACGAAAATATCACATTGATATATTTCTGTACATAAATTTTTCAGCTGATTGAATTAAATTGAAGATGTCGATGACGAAGTCGATAAACTATCTTCCATCATTGCCGTATTGATTACGTAAGCACGAACATAATAAATTCCATAAACAACGTTTTCCAGCTGATGAGAAAAATTACAATTTATAAATAATCCAATTAATTTAAATTTTTTTTATACTGGGGACGAAGAACGGGAGTCTTATGTTAACTTCCGTTTGCGATGGAAAGTTTTAAAGAAAAGTAAATAGTTTAAGAATAGGATTTATTAGAAAACGTGCAATAAAATCACACCATTTATTAAAGTTTTATTTAAAATATATTATTATAAATTATATCTGAAGCAACCACATAAATAAAGGAATTAATAACAAAGTTGCATTATTTTACCACAGTTAAATGATTTTATACAGGAAATACATTTTTACTGATATTGGATACATGAAAATTTTATTTTTGTAGTAGTGAATGAGTGCTTTCACTTATGAATTATCAGTACAATACATTTACCTGTACGAATATAAATAATAATTGTATGAAAACAGGCTGTATGTTATTTGCGTGTAAGCAGAATTAAATAAATAAAATAAATATAAATTTTCTTCTATAATAACGTATCTTCTATTACCAGGAGTTATTATACTGGCACTACAGAAATAATACAAAGTTTTACAGAAAAACATTTTTTATTTTACTTAATATACCTGGACACATACGTAGTTTTGCGTTTCGGACACTCTTGTCCCTCCTCAGCAGGTATTTTTGTATATTCTATAACAATAAAATTAAGTTTTTACAAATTAAAAGACAAAGTCGTTCTAAAAATATATATTTTTCAGACGATTACCATTTTTACAAAGTGTTCTAGAACAAAGTACAGACAGCTGGACCTTCCTTTTTAGGCTACACAACTGCCTATATTTAAAAAGTTCCTTAAAAACACAAAAAAACCAATAAAATTTAAGAAAAAATCTTCTTTAAAATTGGAATGGTAAATCTTACGACGTCTTGTTACTTCATCTTTGTCCATTGGGTTTCTGGCTCTTTGGCTCTTTATCTACTGAGGATTAGCGCTGACAAATGTAGATTAGGCCGATATCCCTCTGGTGACGAATTATAGCGATATATTTGGATTTCCGTCAGATGAATAAATTACTTTTTACAAAATTAAAAGACAAAGTCGTTCTAAAAATATATTTCAGACGATTACCATTTTTACAAAGTGTTCTAGAACAAAGTACAGACAGCTGGACCTTCCTTTTTAGGCTACACAACTGCCTATATTTAAAAAGTTCCTTAAAAACACAAAAAAACCAATAAATATTAAGAAAAAAT